TATTCTTATACAGAATTTCTCTTCTTAGTTTGCTTCTTGTTAAAGCCAAATTCCATTTTATTGTTGGGGGCTGCCCCCTGCCTCCCTGCCGCCACTCACCCTGGAACTGTTCCTGAGTTCATTCTCCATCCCTTGGTTCCTCCTTGCTCTTTCCTCTCTCTTTTTGTGGTATCCGGAGAAGGAGGAGAGGAGATACGGAATTCTAAAACATCATATAGATGAAATACCTCGGTAACTGTTTAAACAAGTGATCACAAAATTGGAAAGAAAAGACGCTCCCAAGCCCATTGCTTGATTCTTCTAGTAGATGAGCCCGGGACTATTTTGTGTGGCTCCTCGTACTGCCCGGCCCCTCTTCTGAATTCTGTTCCCCAGAGCGTAGGCACTATCTGGAAACCCCTTTGCCTGTTAAACCATCTATGTCACCGAGCCCGGCCCTGCCTGCTGTTTGCCGGTGGTGGCTTCAATGCTTGTCTCTGCTGCCTCCTTACATGCTCTCACTTTCTAAGAATAGTTGGGTTTTAAGTGATTCCCATTAAAGAAATCGACTTAATGTGTTTTTCACCTTCAGTTGAATGATGCCTTCATTATCCTTACAACACATTTTCGTTTTTCCCATCTGCCTAGCACAAGCTTTGTATCTCAGGAGTTATATACGGTCACGTTGTAGACTGTCTTAAATATACAGAAATCAAAGGAAAGAAATTAAGACTCGCCCATTTTCTTGCTGCTTAGCAATAGATGCTCTTAACATTTTAGAGTTTCAGCCTTCTTAATGCACAGTAAATTTCTATAAAATGAAATGAAATCTTATATGCACCGCATTGAGCCCCTTTCTCAGTTAGTATGAGACTCTTTACAACCAATAATCTATAAATGTACTTCTAATTTGGGCATTAAAATTTCTCTAAGTTTAGATCCCAGGGAGATAACTAAGCTCATGCTTTGCTTGTGAGAGCCCCAGGTTCAATGTCCAGCACTACCTGGCTTCCTATGCACCTCTAGGAGTGACCCCGAGCATCACACTGGGTGGAGTCACTGAGCACTACACTGTGTGGCTCTCAAACTAGATAAATATAAAATAAAATTTTTCTCAGTTTAGGTGATGACCACCACTGGAACTCAGTATTTGCACATATTCAACATTATTTCCATAAGGTAAACTCCTGGAAGAAATTCTGTTTTAAATAGTACAAAAATTGTTCAAGCTGCAATTTTCATTTTATTTCCAGAAGTTTGGAATCTATTAAATCTTTGTTATAGCAAAGGTTGAAGTAAAGTGTTCCAAAAATAAAAATAAGAACGATAAAGAAAAAATATAAGTACTTTATATTGGGTGGAGTGATCACAGTGGGTAAGGTGTTTGCCTTGCACGCGCGGCTGACCCGGCTGACCAGTGTTTGATTCCTCCACCCCTGTCGGAGAGCCCGACAAGCTAGCGAGACTATCTCGCCCTCACAGCAAAGCCTGGCAAGCTAGCCGTGACGTATTTGATATGCCAAACACAGTAACAACAAGTCTCACAATGGAGAGGTTACAGAGCCCGCTCGAGCAAATCGATGGACAACGAGAGGACAGTGCTTTATATTATTTTCTTTTATTTATTGCCAGGGATGTCATATGCTATCCAAGTATTTGTTGGTTGTTTGTATATTTTGCGAATGACAATTATATTTTATACTCATATTTGTTATTATATTTTTGTCTTTGTATGACACCCAGAGATGCTCAGGGGTTACTTCTGGCTTTGCATCAGGAATTACTCCTGGTGATGCTCATGTGACCATATGGGATGCTGGGGACTGAACCCAGGTTGGCTATGTACAAAGCAAACACCTTTAGCACTGTACTATTGCTCCAGCTCCTATTCTCATGTTTCTTTGAGAATAGGAACCATTTTTAATAGTTCTTAATGTCCAATTTAAAAAATTTTTGTATACTAAAATAGTAATCATTTGTCATATTGCAAACATTTATTGGTTATGTGAGTTATTTTGGGTGTTGGCTATAGAACTTTGTTTAACTTATCTGTAGTCTATTGTCATACTGAAGTTTAAATTTATGGGGCTAGAGAGAAAGTACGGGGGCTACGGTGCTTGCCTTGCATGTAGTCCACCCCTGTTGGATGTCAGCAGACATACCAACCCCTGAGCTCAGAGCCAAGAGTAAACCCCGAGTACCACCAGTTATGACTAAAAAAACAAAACCAAAAATACAAACCAAACTTTAAATTTGTGTCTTATCAAATCCATCAATATTTTCCTCCTAGATTTTCATTCTCAATACTGTTGTCCACTCCAGTCTTCTAAAACGATTTTTCTAACACTTTAATGGTATCTTCTTTTTGGCATTTTTAACTTAAAGAATCGTAGTGTGGGTACCCGCATAGAGCAATGAGCATGAATCAAATAAACTAGTTCTCAGCATTTCACTTGGAATTGCCCTTGGCTAGTTCTTCCTTCAAAGTCAGAACCTTGGGGGATCGAGGCAGGGAGCCCAGCTACTTCAGCATCAGGAGGCCTCGCTTTCCTAAGCCATCTATTTACTTCTTAGGACAGAGACTCTGTGATGATCACCTTCACTGAGGGGACCCCTGTGTGGGATGTGTGCTGAAGCCAGAACACAGCCAGTTTACCCAAAGATGGTCTAGCCACTTGGGACCAACAGCATCTGACCAGGCTATTGCAAAAAGCTGGTGTGTCGCTTGCCTTTGACCATGTGCTTTAATCTTCCTCCAGGGTATCTTGAGGTAGTGATGGGGCAGGGAGGGCGGTACCAGCCTCAACCCTAATTATTCATAAGTGTAAGCTGAAATCACCCAACCCCTTTTTCAGATCTGCATGTTAGAGCCCAGTCATACCACAAGATCTTAAAACCGCAGAGGACATGGTCCCTTACCCTTGTTTTATAAAGAACCAAGTCCCCAAAATGAGTACTGTAATTATGGTCCATAGTCAAATCTAGACCATCTGGGATGTACTTATGGTTCTTTTTATCATTCTTTAGTAATTCATACCTGCTGTGTGCCAAGCACTGTGATGGGCTTAGGGCAATTTCAAAAGCATTGAGAATTTTCCTTCCTATCCTCCCAGAACTCACAGATTCACTGGGAGACCCATGGGAGAAGCAATAATGTATGTGCAGATTATGGGTGCATTGCTAGACTGGAGCGATAGTGTAGAGGGTAGGGCGTTTGCCTTCCATGCGGCCAACCCGGGTTCGACTCCTCCTTCCCTCTTGGAGAGCCCGGCAAGCTACCGAGAACATTCCGCCCACAAGGCAAAGCCTGGCAAGCTCCCCGTGGCCAAAAACATATGCCAGAAACAGTAACAAGTCTTACAATGGAGACGTTACTGGTGCCTGCTAGCAGTGAATGCTGAAAGGAGCACAAGGAAAGGATCTCTTAGTCTGGCCAGAGGGGCCAGGAGAATCAGACTGAATCAGCAGGAAGAGATAGGATTTGAGTAGGACTCTGAAGAAAAGGAAGGTGCTGGCAATAAGGACAAGATCGCAGGTGTGCAAACACAGCAGGGACAGACACTCAGACATGTGTGTGAAGCCTGCCTGTGGTTATGCAGGTGAGAGGGACAGAGCATGCCCCTCAGCCACTGCTGCAGCCAACTCAGTCCCTCACTAGGACTTACTCCTCCTCCTTCATGCCATTGTCTTGAAAGGATCTCTATGCCCCACCAATCCCCATCTCCCCTAAAGCTCCCCAAGTTGAGTGCAGACCTCCTTGATCACCACCACTATCCCATCCGCCTCCCTCCACACCTGCCTGGCTCCCTGTCCTTTCTCACCAAATTCAGAGATGAGAGTAAGAATGGGTCTTCTTCCAAAATAAACAGTAGGGCTGGGGAGAGAGTTCAAAGTGTTGGGGGCATTCACTTTGTGCACAGGAAAGTGGGTTTAGTTCCTGGCACTTCATGGTCTCCCAAGCACCACTTGTGAGTGACAGTTACACCCCCCACCCCTACTCTGGCCAAGTACTGAGACAGGAGTATCTCCTGAGCTATACCACTGGGTGTCGCAAAAAGTAAATAAATAAAAATTAAACTATAAAGAGACAAAACTGTAGAGATAATAAAATAATGGTGGTGACTGGGGTGGCGTCCAGGGAGAGAGGAAAGGCAGAGCACAGCGGAGTTTAGGACACTGAAAATACTGTGTGGGTTGCAATGATGGATAATGTAGTTAATAGATTCATGATATTCATTGGGAAGTTGTTCTTTTCCGCAGAGGTAGCAAAAATCCACCCAAAGGTACAATGGCAGGAGTTATTTTTTCGTAACGGTATCTCTTAGTTCCCCTCCCCAGGTTGAGACAAAGTATGTACTATGGCACCAGGCCAAGGAGGACTAGGGAAAAACGGTGAATCCAGGGAGGGTGAGAGAGAGCAGGTGGGGAATTCAGGCCAGAGGACCTCTGTCACCCCCACCCCACAGTGCAGCCAGGCATCTGATCCCCGAAGGCAAACCCTGCAGAGGAGTCCTTGTTTGTGACCGACTCTTTTTTTTTTTCTTCAAAATAAAAAAATTTAGTGGGTGGTGAGCTCTACCCAGTGATCTAGGGTCAGCGGCATGCAAGGAAGTGCCTTACCCTCTGAACTGGCTTTCCAACCCCGATCAGTCACCCCTGACTCAGACCTGATTTCTGGAGACAACCAGAGTCTCAGTACCTAAGACTGAAAGTGTTGAAGAAAGACCTGGCACAAGATATCCCTTCGTGATTACCCTGCCTAAGGCTTCTACTAGACGGCCAGGAGACACTGTGAAGCAGATGTGAACCTCACCCTCGCCGAATTTTCTGTCTATTCTGATTAGCTGCCAGGCACTTGCAAAACATCCCTTCAAACAACCGTATTATTATACTTTAAAAATACTAATGGGGAAGTGGAGGGTTCTCAATGGGACTGTCAGTGATATGTATATACTAAGTACATGAAAGTCAAATATACCCTTTAATTAGTGTTTTCTTTCTCTTTTCCTCTCTCCTCCCAGATAATTTCCAGGATCAGATGAAAAGGGAACTAGCCTACCGAGAGGAAATGGTGCAACAGTTACAAATTGTAAGACACATTTCCACTTAAAAATGAATGCAACTTGCTGTGCTTGTTTTCAGACCACAGAGATATAAATGAAGCTGTGTTTACTGTGAAATCCTTTGGTCCACTTGCCTTTCAGCTGACTTAGATGCTAATTACCCAGAGATTTACTTAGCCACCAGATAAACAGATGTGTCAGTACATTCTCTCTAAATGTAACTACCTACCATGTGTTAATAGACAGATGTGTGAATTGTCTCTGTGGGCAAACCAGAGGTACCTGCGTTGTCTTCTACTGTCTGAGCTTGTGAGCACAGAGCTGGGACATGCTAGAAACCCAATGAGTGGGAGCTGCCTCCCATCTCCCCTGCCTTTGTGACCCCAGACCTGAGCCAGACTGGCCACGGTCAGTTGAATTTATTATAAACACAGTCAGCCTGTTATATTTACTTGAAGGAAGATGAAAAGAAATAGTTTTTCCAAATGATGTGCATCTTAGACACTGGCATCCTAATCAGTGTCTAAGAGTGGACATGCCCGAGAGCTATTAATACAGAAATACAGAAACAAGACAGCAGTTGAATAGGATCTGGTAGGATTTTTTTCTTGCTGTTTTTCTAAATTCCTCACCCATTGACCCCAAGCAGACCCATCTGGTTTTGTTCATTAGTGCTTTTCAGGCTGTCCCTGGGGAGGAGGGATATCGCTCCATATTTGTGCAGTATTTTTATTGCTGCGTTTTAATTTTTTTGGCGGGGACTTGGGTCACACCCGGAAGTGCTCAAGGGCTATTCCTGGCTCTGTGCTCAGGGATCACTCCTGGCTGTGCTCCGTGGACCAGACACGGTGCCAGGGTAAGTGCCTTTTCTATTCTTTACTCTCTCTCAGGCCATGTACAATATTTTTAATCACCCCGACAGACTTTCACTGATCCTGAGGGGTATTCTCAGCCCGGTGATTCATTTGGCTTGCTGCACATTTTGGTGCCAATTCTTACACCATTAAGCTGGTATCTCCGCAAGCCCTCTGGCATTGTCTAGAAAGACAGTCTCTCGCTCTCTGTCTGGATTCTTTTGGAAAGAGGGTTATTAGTGTTCTCCTTTCTATAAGGAAGAAATCGTGCTGGTGTTCATGGAGGCTGTGGAGAGGCGTTTGTAAAGCTGCCAGGTAGTGTTGCTCGATATTTTTCTCCATTCGGAGGGCTCTGATAGGAGAGCAGCTTCAACCTCCACCCTTCACACTTGGATCTCATGTGTTGGCTCGCAGCTCAACTCTGAAATCCACCTGAACATAAGATGCCTTTTTATCATCGTCTTGCTTCTTGTTTCGATTTTGATTGTGTTCATTTTACTTTTGAGTTCACTGTTGAGCAGAAGGATTTTCTGTGTAGACTGAGGACTAATCATCTACAGAGTTAAAATGAAAAAGTGTACCTATTCTTCTTTGGGTTTGATGCCTTGATAATGAGATAGATGCATCTCTTGCTGTGCATATAGACTTACTGTATACTTTGTGCAAGGGAAGCATTTAAATATGGAACTGAAAGTAGACAGATGCCCATTTCTAAGACCTTGCTGATTTCACATGTCAATAAGGACATTATTACTCTTGGACATTATTACTCATCGTCACACACACAGCCAAAGATATGTGATATCAGAGAAGTGGTGAGTACAGAAAAATGGATATTCGAAAAGAAGAGAAGTGTTTATTTTATGAAGTTTTCCCATTTAAGTTAACTTATATTGTATTAATGTCTTGATTTTTTTTTGCTTTTTGGGTCACACCTGGAGATGCTCAGGGGTTATTCCTGGTACTGCACTCAGGAATTACTCCTGGCGGTGCTCAGGGGGACCATATGGGATGCTGGGAATCGAACCCGGGTTGGCCGTGTGCAAGGCAAACTCCCTACCTGCTGTGCTATCACTCCAGCCCCCTGTCTTGATTTTTTTGACACTTGGTTTCTTTAGTAAAAGAGGAAATGATATGGCATCCTTGTAATAAGCAGGTGGAAAAAAAGGGAATCATATCTTTTTGTTACATGTAGAATGCAAATAGGTATGACTAAGGATTCCTATATATACTGTTGTAACACATTTTGTCAGCACATATTTATTTATCTTGACAAGTGTTGTTCATTGACTTTCCTCTTAATTGTACATTACATCTAGTCACAAATTAAATTCTTTGGGAGAAGCTCATCCCAGCTCTGTAGACATCATCTAATTCCCAAAGTTCACAAAGGCTCGTATAGGTTAAAACTATATGAATTGATGAAGTATATATGATTCTCCCTTCCTATTTTCCCCCTTCTTGTGCCTCTTACAGAAAATACCAAGTGATTCCATGCTAACCCCTGACCTAGACCAGTGTCTCCCGGCAAGTAGCTCTCAGGAACCCTGTGTTGAATCCGCCGTCTACGGACGCCCCTCATTCAGCTCTGAAGCTGCTCTGAAGCCTTTCTCTAAATTTTCTAAGAGTGGTCCTGATTTCCTCAAGCATTCTTTTCCACTTTGTGAACTATGATCAAAGCTCCTAAAGGAAGGCATAGCAGTGTTTATAGAGAACTTAGTATTGTACTGCCTTTGAGGCTAACAGAAAATAGCTTTAAGGTCTGCTTAATTTGAGCTCAGGACCCATCCTCTGTAGTTCTTTGTGTCAGTTCCTCAACCAAAGACCCTTTATATATAGAGTCTGAGTCATAGCCCTATAAGGCACAGTTGGCAATAAAGATGAAATGTACAGGAAAGTCCTGACTCTCCCCCTTCTCAAAGTAGTGCCTCTCTCTCTAGGATTATTTAAGCCCTGGGAGCTGGACATATTGTTTTGGAGAAAAAACTTGCATTCATATAATGCCATTTACTTTAGGATCGAGGCAGCAGACTCAAAGTTACATGGACAGAAATTTATCTGGCTTCTTATTCAGTTTATTGTATTTGTTAAAGTGCCTGGTGGTGGTTGGGGAACAGCATTCTTTATAAAATTCTAAAGATTACCAAGAAATCACTAGCTACCACAATTATTGATTTTCTCAATAATTTGAGTTGAATGAGCTAATTTGTCAGTAAATGTGGTTACATGCATTGCTCCCTGAGAACAAAACAATCCACTCAAAATTATTTTAATATTTTATATTTAAAGTTTACAGACTATATATTACAAAAGAGTCATTTGCCAACAGAGCAGCCATCTTTTTTCCTCTGGATGAAATAAAAACCCACCCTATCCTGCAATCATGGAGAATTCAAATATATTAAAACCATCATATTTTATAACAATTCCCATAGATCCACAATGTGTTTATTCTATGCAGTTACATGGTGTTCTTATTCAAAATATTATATCAGAAGCATCTTGGGTACCATTGCCATTGAAAGAAAACTTATGAATTTCTTTGGTGCCTTTATTTTTGATTCTCTGCGGACTATAATTTCTGCACCATCACTTCCTTCTCCAGATTATATACTAAGTTGTGATGACTATAGCATCAAATGATTGACTCTTTGTGCATTTATAAATGAATGTGCACTTATCCCAATGTGAGATTTAAAGCACATAGAGTTTATTTAACATTTATACACAAGATCTCAGCTAAATTCTTCAAGATAACAAAATTAGATTTGGTCGTACTTAATACCATTTGTGTTAGTCTCTTGTCCCTTAACTTTTCTTTTTTTTTCTTTTTTTTTTTCTTTTGGGTCACACCCGGCAATGCACAGGGGTTATTCCTGGCTCATGCACTCAGGAATTACTCCTAGCCATGCTTGGAGGACCATATGGGATGCTGGGAATCGAACCCAGGTCGGCCGTGTGCAAGGCAAACACCCTACCTGCTGTGCTATTGCTCCAGCCCCCCACCTTAACTTTTCAAATGCTCAAAATATCTTTGTTATAGAACCGGAATTATATACACAAGAAGAAAACATATGTTCCCTGTACTAGGCACCAAATTCAAAAGTTTCAAAATCTAGAAAGCTTATTCATCTATTAGTGTGCATAATAGAGAACACATTATTTTTCATTTCACGAGCAAATTGTGATTCTGGGGGGGTGGAAATGTGTTCAATTTTGGAAGCATGGTACATTATCCCTTAGGTTAAGAAGGTGAGGAAATGGGCTCAATGTTTCTATGTACACTATATCTCAGATATTTAAGAAATTCTTTTGGGGTGAGGGTGGGGTAGAAAACCATACCCAGACATGCTCAGGGGACCATGTGGGCTCAGGGATTGAACTTGGGGCTTCTGCAGTGAAGCACACACCCCAGCCCTTTGAGCTCTGTTTACAGCCTGAAAATAAAGTTATTGCGGGAAAGAGTTATTACAGCAGGTCAGACACTTGCTTTGTGTGAAGCTGACCTGACTCCATCCCTGGCACTATGTATGGTCCACTTAGCACTACCAGGAGTCATCTCTGAACACAGAGGCAGGAGTAAGCTATATGTGATCCAACCTCCCTCCCCGAAAAAAGTTCTTGAAGAAGCTGAAGATAGTTTAACCTTTTCATTAAAGTCTCCCCCTCCCCCCGTGCACAACCTCAAGGAATGGAGTATGATCTATATCATGACCTAAGACCATTATGATGACCTTAGTGACCTTTTTGTTTTGCTGCTAATTTGTTTTGTTTTGTTTTGTTTTGGGGGCCACACCCGGCTCTGCTGGCTCTGTACTCAGGGACCACTCATGATGGGCTTTGGGAGACCATATGCAATGTGCAGATAGAACCCAGGTTTACTGTATCCAAGGCAAGTGCCTTAACCCTGGTCCTATCTCTCTAGCCCCTTTGTTGCTAACTTGTCAATAGTTTCTTAGGCATGGGCTTCTGTAGGTCAGTGAATAGTGTGGGTTTGCTGAAGGCTTATCTGTTTTTAACCACAGTTCTTGGAGGACATTGGAGCAGCAAAAAGAGAGCGCATGATAGGCAGCTAGAGCCAAAGGCACAGCCCTTGAACTTGCTGCATTGAGAACAAGAGGCAGGCACAGATGGAGAAAATGTGCTAGTCCTGAAGTGCCCTCTGCTGTTTTCTCTAGAAAGCTGCAGTCATGCACAGTCAGGAGGCTCGGATCTCAAGGTTCCTCATTAAAAGCTTCAATTAAAATAACGTCCAATCGATAGATGCAGTACTAATGTTTTGCTCGTTGTAGACTTGTAAAAAGCAGCTTACCGCTTCACAATGGTGGGCGCGTGACGCTGCCTTTCAGGGAGGGAGTGATTTCTCGTTGCGGGAGCAGCCAGTGACCCAGTAATTGGAGTATTTGAGTGAGGATTTGCTCAGTTTTCAACCCTCTCAACCCAGACAACTTTTAAATTATGGTCTGCATATTTTTAAAAGTAAAACAGTTTCCTTCCTTCCTTCCTTCCTTCCTTCCTTCCTTCCTTCCTTCCTTCCTTCCTTCCTTCTTGTATCTGACTTCCTCCTAACTCTGTACTCAAAGAACACTCCTGGTGAGGCTCTGAGAACCATGTGGGGTACCAGGGATCAAACTGGAGTCTGCCAAGTGCAAGGCAAGCACCCTACCTACCCACTGGTTTTGCACTGTATTTTTTTAGCAAAAGATCCCTGCATCATTCGAGTTTTTAATTTCTGCCTGAATATACCACTGAAGATCCCAGCATGTCATAGCATTTGATGCAAGTCTGCACTTAGAAGGAAGCGGCATTAGGGTTCTACAGCAAGAGAGCGATGGGTCCTGATGCGTTCCTTACCAGTTTTTAAGATCTCTGACCATGCAACACTGTTCCTTTGATATATTCATTCTCCTTTCGAGAAGCTCAACCTCCGAATGTCTGAGCTCAGGTCAGCAGAGCTTATGCTGAGCTCTTAGCATAAACTAGTTTCTCTTTGTCAGTGAAGACTCCAATGTGCTTGATAAATTAGAACTAGGTAATTTATATGTTACATAATAACTTTAAAGGTTTTTTGCTTTTGTGTGTGTTTATATTTTGTTGTTATTTGGTCCATGTCAATCTTGATGCTGTCCAAGATGTTCAAAATGAAGAAAAAGAAAGTCTTTGTTAATTATATTCTGTGAAGTTTATGTGGAACAATTAGCCTTTCATGGAAACTTTAGAACCTGAGTTTCCAAGTTGGGGGGATATTTGCTGAGGATTGTATTTCATAGGATCTGAAATTAGGAAAGTGTCATGATTTGATGTATTATTACAAACAATGCTTCAACTATTATTGCTAAAGTACATCAATTATAATGCACACAATTTCAGAAATGTAAAGGTGGGAGAGGAAAAGCACATTTTAGAGACAACAAAATTGAATCATTTCCATGAACCAGCGGGCCCTGTTCATGAACAGGGGTCTGTCTTGTTGACTGAGTTCTTTATTATTTAGGACAAAGATACATATTTGTGGGGAGGCACACCCAGTTGTGCTCAGGGCTTACTCCTGGCTCTGCACTAAGAGGTCACTCCTGGCAGGCTCAGGGTACCACATGGGTTCTGGGGATGAATGGAACCCTGGTCAGCCATGTACAAGGCAAGTGCCCTACTTCCTGTATTATCTCTCTCTTTTTTTAAATTTTTTTGAGTGAGACACCATGAGGCTGTACTATTTCTTTTTAACTCACAGCCGTTTGCTCTTTGTCTCTGTTGTTGTTGGGCTTTAGCTAACTTTAATGAAATAAGCACGACAGTCAGCGCTTGAGTGGGGATAAATCTTCACCCAGAGTTAAACTCCAATTTGGAGATTTCAGGATCATATGGGCTTATTTGGAAATGACTTTTATTCCGAAGTCATTTTTTTTCCTTGTCAGCCTCCCATCTTAATAAAATGCTACATTGTTGGTTCTGATAAAAAAGGAAAGAGAAAAGAAGGGGACATTGTGGCTGAGCTCTGAACATAGTGCCCTTGGGGCAGTTTTCTCGGGGTTAACAGAGTAGTTTTCTGGCCTTGATGACCTGGCCCGTGGTGATATTAATTTACTATGCAAGTGCCTGTCTCACACAGACACTTACTAAATCCCGGTGGCATGTTATCTTAATGCTGTATCAGTGTGAGAGTAGCACAAATAACATTTCATTCAGTCATTCCTTTTACCCCAAGGTGCACATCATTCCTGCATTCTGTCCTGAACACTAGGATTTCATTCAATGCACTATTGTAATGTGCATCTGCAGAGAGGGCGATGTGATCCCTGTGTTTGGGGCATATTGCGGCATACACCACAATGGAAAATCAGGATTCAAGAGTGTCTCTGTTAATTGCAGGTGTAGCATAACATTGAGTGAAAAGAAGCAGTAACTAGAGTAGGTTCCTAGGTAACTGTGCTTGGCGTTGTTGTCTAGCTGATCTCGGCTCACATCTTCTGATAGGGAATTAGGACCCTGAACTTTTTATGGCACTCTCTGAATCATTTATTTCAATGTGAGGTCTGTGCCCCTTATTGGAACATCCCTGTGGTGGTTTTGAACCAAAAGCATGAGGTGGTTCTTCGAGTCTGCTTTTTCTTTTATAAAGACTATACAGTTCAGCTGACCAGTTATGACGGCAAGACGGCTCTGCTCTTAGTCAGTAGTATCATTACAGAGTCTACCTCTTTCCCATCCATAAAGATTTGCATTTAAGGACTGGAAGATCAAAAAAGAAAAACATAAACATGTTGGAAATGTATGTAACAGTATTTGAAAACACTGCCTCACCGAATGAAATGAATTTTATTTTCCTCACTGCTTTTTACCTAACAGCCATCGTTCATGATATATTTTAGAAGATTAAAAATTCATATTCCTTTAAAAATAAAATAGTTCAGACTCTTCAGAGTCCTGAGGTTAGCCCCATAATGATAAAGGCAAGGAACATAGTGATAGAGTACTTTAATGGGGGTTAGAGCAGAGGCAAATCTTAATAATACATGTAGTCTTCTTTCAACCATTCGAATTTTCTAACAAAAAAGCAGCCTATCGACTGTTGTAGGCATTCATTCAAAGTCCCAATATTAAAAGTACTTTTCGAATTTATCCAGGTAGAATTCTCAGGGGGCCTATTTTCCATGCCATGCAATTATTTCTGATGTTTCTTAGTAGTTATTGGGAAATTACCCAGAGCAATAGTTTGTATTTACTTAGTTCATCTTATTTCTAATTTGCAATGATAGCATATTTCATCACTCTTAATTAAATGAGAGATTATGTTTGAACTTGTATATAACCGCATTCTTCTTTTGTGACCTTGGGATATGCATTGTAATACCAGAGATTAGTTTTTGTACCTAAAAAACCATTATGCCATATTGCTAAGTACTAATGTTTTTTATTTTGACTTTTTTCAGTGAAATGCACCTCAGAGACTGTGTGGAATCAGTCTGTGTAACTATGTCAGCGGCAACCTGTGTGATAACCAATTCTGCCCCAGATTTGCTTTTTAATAGGCCTTACAAATGCTGTACCCCAGAAGCCTCCTACTCCTATTAAAAGGACATCATTTTTCTTCGGGTCGGACCCATGTACAGTCAAACTGTTAGACACGAAGAACCCCTCCCCAAATGTTGCTTACCTGGAAAGGTTTATTTGCTTTTCTCTTGCAGATTCCCTACGCAGCAAGCTTGATTAGGAAAGAGAAGCTTGGCGCCCACCTCAGCAAAAGCTAAAAGGTGAGAGCACCAAAGGAAAGACTTTGACCTTCATTCTGAGTTGTTATTGTTTGGCCAGGTTTGTTATTGACGTGTTTTAAATAAATAGCCCAAGGGACTGGTAATGTTTCCATTATGCTGATGATCTCTGTTATGTCTGGGCATGGGACTTTTCAAATTAATGACTGTGTCTTATGAATTCTATGGAAAATTCCTGAAACTAGAGAAATTCTCTGTTCTGTCTGCAGCAGGGATTGTAATTCTCTTTTGAGTTTTTCTGCTCTTCCTGATTTTACCTAATACCCAAGTATTCTAAAGAAATGAAGTCAGCATAATACTTAGGGGTTCATTTTCTCAGTTTCTCCTTTAGTTCCAAAACATCTTCTTGAAATCTGACTCTCAGTGAGTTACCAGCAAACAGTAAAATAAACAATTTTGGTGACCAAAGACCTTTGAGAAATTGTGCTTGAGAAAGAGTAATTCATCTCTTTTCTAAACCAATAATAGTTTTCCTAGGACTCAGTCAGGTCCAAGGTTATATCCACAGCAACAATTTAAAAGACAACCATTCTAGACTCTTAAGGAAAAGATGACAGTGGAAATTCAACTACTATGTTTAGAATATACCTAAACATTTAAAAAATGAAATATTTAGGTATATTCTAAACTTTTTTTATTCTATGGAAGAAGACATACGTAATTATTAGAATTGAAGGACTATAAAAATTAGGCCATTGTTGTCTTTGTAACCATATGTTAGGGATGGCTTAGCAATTGGAATTATTAAATCAGGAGAAACTCCACAGTAGCTTTTGTAGGTGCTCCTGGGCAACTAGGACTGCGGTCATTTGTCAGTTTGATTGATTCCAATCACAATAATTTTTGCTATCACTTCTTTCTGGAGCATATTTTCTCTGACGCAATTTATTGGCAAGAAGAATTTTGTGTAATACAGCTCATGGGTTCATTTCTTTCCTCATGTCTCTTTACTGCATATCACCAGTCTCTGCTACTCTGTATAGACAACAATCCTCCTCTTTAGTACAATCATCTTTCTTGGTGATAATCTTCAATACTCGTTGTACACAAAAATGATTCTATTCTATTTCATCAGAAACTCAAAAGTCTTTGCAAAACCATTATTTGTAAGCTTCCCTTAATTTTATGCCTCAGGGAACTGAGGTAAAAAGAAGATATAAGGTTTCCTATCCATGTGGCAAAGACAAGAGAGATATTCTAGGGCTCCTGACTCAATAATTCAATAATTAACTTGCTCCCACTATGTATCCCACTATGTGCTGTTGTTTCTGCAATAGAGAGATTCAGATAATAAATGATTATTTCCCACCCTAATAAGTAATACATAAATAGCCTATGAAGCAGTTCCATTTCATATATTCAAGGGTTTTGTTTTTGTTTACTTGTTTTTTTTGCTTTTGGACAGTGGAGGGGACAAGGATTAAAGTCAAGGCTTCATGTATGCAAGGCACACACCACATTATCAACCTCAAGTAATTTTTCCTGAAATTTGGGGGATTTCTTTATTTTTGTAATATAGCCGGTATGCCCCAGAATCTTAACTCAGAATATTGAGGACATCAGGGCAAGAATCATTAAAATTAATGCCGAGGGCCAGAGATAGTACAGGGATTGAGGCATGTGACAGACACTGGATTGATCCCACACACCACATGGTCTCCTGAGCACTACCAGGAGAAACCCCAGAACACAGAACACAATGCTGGATGTGGCAACCAAACCAAACCAAACCAAACCAAACAAACCTCATAAAAGAGAATTTTAAAAATAAAATTAATGCCAATAAACCACATGTCTAATAGCTTGTAAGTGTTCAACTAATTTTTTCTCAAATCAGAGACTGTCTTTGGATATATTTATTTGAATAACTTTCTCATTAAAGTGTAAAATGCATTAAAGGAAATCTAAAATCATCAAGCCATATACAAATCATGAAGACTACACATCTAAACTTAGTGCATTCTACAGGTTCATCTCACTCTGTTTCCAGCAATCAGAAGCCACTTTATGTCACTGCCCATTTATTCTCCTCATCCCAACCAAGATTATCTCTATTTGGTATTGTAGTTTTATAAGGACATTGTATAGAGCATTCATTCTTTTGTTCCTGAATTATTCTATGCCATGTTTGTGAGATTCCTCCATTAGAATATAGTTTGATTTATTCTTAGGAACTTCAATAAACTCTTTATTTTTCCCACTTCCCCAACTCATCTTTCCTGCTTGTCAAACCCAGCTGTTCTTGCACCTACAAGATAAGGACTTACTGCCCAGAAACCAAGCCACTGATGTTGACATAGCATATAGCAAGGTAGAAAAAAAAAAGATTGATTTGTGTTTAGTAACTAATGCTTCCACCATGCTGATTTTGTTTCCATCCTTGCAGACAACCGGGATTTCTCTAAGTAGACCCTGGTGCTTTCAGAAGATTAGTGGTTACTTAAATGCTGAGCTAAATCAGCCAAGCAGAGAATCACGACCATATTGTTAGAGGCAGTATTTGATTCTCAACATGCCAAGCCTGCAAGGAATTACCCCAAGAGAGATTACAAAATAAAAATCATTACACCAAGGGAGGGAGACAAATTCTGTCTTGCTGAGTGACCACAGGTTTCCAAATTAGGGACTGATGCATTAATGTCTTATGCAAGAATGACCCTTAAGGTAGTATGCTGTGTTCTTGCCACCCAGTGGATTCCAATATGACTATTAAGAGGAGGAAGCTTTTCAAAACCACAGGCAATCCACTTAATAAGCTGAGCAAGTACTGCCACATATCACTTCTCTACAAATATTTTTCTTTTTCCCTTCGTTGGGGCCTAAGAAAGTCCACATTTAGTCAAAGGAAAGGTTCAACCAGATCAGGATGCTAAATTGTATAATTCCATTAAAAAAACCAAGTAGTTCATCACCCACCTCAAATTTTAGGCATCTACACAGAATATTCTCGACGTTTCCTTGATAACTCCTTAAAGATCCATGGGTTTTTCTAAACCTTTGTTAACTTAAGCATAGTTTCCTTGGGGGCAGTGAATTCTATTTGTTTAGTTCCCAGCTGTGCATAGTGTTGTTTATTTTATTTATCTTCAACCATTGCCTAGAACAAGCCCTAGTAGATTAAACATTGCACTGCTCTGCATTTTTGTTCCATAGTAAGCCCATAAGTAAAATAGAAATGATCTGGAAAAGACTTAAATTCTCGGGTGTATTATCTTTTATACCTAAGGTAGTTAATACCAGAATTATTCCTAACAGTCTTCTTTACTTTGGGGAGTTTCTCTGATCCAGTTAATACCCAGATACCCTAGTATAATCTGTTATGCCCCCAATAAGCTCATGAAGTTGAGACAAATTTAGTTCTTACTTACGTTCTTTGCACCTTCCAACATCAGCAAGTATTTTTGTAGGTAGGTGGTTGAAATTCCCACGTGCTCAAACATATCATGTGAGTGGGAAGTAAGTCGCCAGAAATAGTTCATTTATAGTTCTATAGAAACTGGTCGATCAAGTTTAAAATAATATTTATTGAGCACTAACTATTCAGTACCTGGACTAAATTCTTTGCCATGCTGTTATCTTTATCCTTATGTTGCTGTTGTTATCATCTCTATTTCATGTCAGGGAATTCTGAGACACAGTGAGTCCTTCGCTAGTCAGTGTCATGTCAGTCTTTCATCCAAGCCCCTTAGACTCTAAGGTCACTTCTCAGCTTCCTAGTAACATGGGCTGGTTTTGAAGCAACATGGTTCTTACCTAGGACACTACTTCCCTGTTTAACTTAATTAATATCACTTTATCTCTTTGAGTCTCACATCACTGCAAAATATGAGAGACCAACCTGACCAAAGTCTCTGCCAGCTCTAAAAATTCTGTTTTATTTCAGTAATTTTGATATGCCAGTCTTCTATTCTCTCAACTTTCCCATAAAGAGGTTGCTTTCACTAACAGCTGCTTAATATTGTATTTAACACCTAAGGACAAGACAGATGCACCTCCTTTTGCCTTCTGTCTATATTTTCTTCATTGCTTAATTGCTGCTTTGATTTCTTCTGTAAGATGGGATATTTTTCCTGTGCTAATGAATTCGTTAGTAAACTTCCACTATTTTTATTTCACTACTGGGCTGGAGCGATAGCACAGCGGGTAGGGCGTTCGCCTTACAAGCGGCCAACATGTCCGACCCGAGTTCAATTCCTCCGCCCCTCTCGGAGAGCCTGGCAAGCTACCGAGAGTATTTGATATGCCAGACACAGTAACAACAAAGTCTCCAATGGAGACGTTACTGGGCCCGCTCGAGCAAATTGACGATCAACGGGAGGGCCTTTACCTTTTACCTTTTACTGGAAGAAATGCTATAAGAACAATAACAAGGCAGGAAGGGGGCGGGGGTATTAAAAGGTTGGGAAGGGGTTGTAATGGAACACGGTGTCTCCCTTTTGTATAGATCAGATGTAGAAGGGAGTGGGGGGGAGTGTATCTATTTCTTTCCTTGGGTCAGATATCAGAGGAGCAGTTTTTTTCAAGAGTTTCCATTGAGAATGACCATGAGCTGCCACTATTCTGTCCAGGCACTTTAGGTCAACTGCCTTATTTAATCTTCAATACAAGTTATTAAAAAATACTGCTATTTTTAGCCCTTTCTTTCACTAAAAATATGGAAGTACAGATGAGTAAGTGAAGAAAGTGGTCTGTGGTCTTCCTGGCAGCAAGTGGCAGAATTTGAACCAGGGTGCCTGCTTGCCTCCCACCTGTCACCTGTTCTCTGATGCATGACCTATAATCATAGCTTTAGTCAAATCTTCATTATCAGTTATTAATAGTTTGAAATCTATCTACTATGGAGCTGTAGTGACAGTACAGTGAATCAAGTACTTGCTTCGCACGTGGTCAACCTGGATTAGATCCCCTGCATCACCTATGTTCCCCCCCCACCCCCCAACCCACCAAGCGTGATCCCAGAGCACAGAGCCAGGAGTAAACTTTGAGCACCTCCAGGTGTCCAACCCATGCCAAGAAATAAATGAATAAATAAATGAATAAATAAAATCCATTGTTTAGCTGATGCTGAATCACAAAACCGACCATGCTTATAGAGTTTTGCCCTAACATTCCAGGACAGGAGAAGTAGGTGTCATTTGGGCTAGCTAGCCCAAGCCAGCAGGATCCCAGAGCCTGGAACTTAATTTCCCTTTGACACAGAAAATGTCTTTATATTTGGTTCAACAAATTGGAGCTTCTAGAATTCAGCAAAATTTACTTTACTGTGGGACCGGGGAGAAAGTGCAGTGTATGTCCCCCATGGGGAGGCCCAGGTTTGATCCCCTGCATGGCATGGTCCCCCGAGCACTGCCGGGAGCAACCCAAGGACCAAGCCAGGAGTTGCCTCTGAGCACTGCTGGATGTAGTTCAAAACCAAAGAAACAAATGGTTTTGCTCTGGAGAAGGCATAGCAAACATGCATGCTCTGATTTAATGGTTTGGGTTTGTCTCCATGGCAGAGAGATGTTAAAAGTTAACACAGCTAATAAACATGTACAAAGGAAAGATTCTTGCACTCACTGCTCAAAACTTTCATCCAAATGCTACTAAAACGTCTGTGTGTGTGTGTGTGTTTGTGTGTGATGTGTGTGATGTGTGTGTTGGGGGAGGGGGTCAGTTGTGGGAGAGGACCACACCCTGACTCTGACTCTGCACTCAGTGATCACTCCTGGCAGGCTTGGCGGGGTGGGGAACCATATGTGGTGCCAGGTTCAAACCTGGGTTGGCCATGAGCAAGGTAAATGCCCACTGTACTTTTGCTCCAGCCCCTGAAATGTTTTTCTTAAAGATATACTATCAGATGTTTGGAAGTTGTCTGATCGTACCCTGCAGAAGTAGTCATTCTGTGATTTTTGTCTTATCCCAGGTGCACAGAACCACTTACTCTTGTTCTCTTGTAAGATACAGCTTGCCACTGAGCACTTCTGACCCACATAAGGACTTTGAATTGAAAGGGCTTGGGAATCAAATACAAAATCCAGTTTGGGAGAACCGCGGGACAAGTGACCTCAAAGCAGCACGGACAACCATGTAAAATAACATAGACTGTGGCGGCCATTTGTTAGTGGGGGGCGGGGGGAGCCAACCAGAGCAGTCAATGCTTGTCGCATCTTTTGGTGGAACCAAAGTTTGAGTCTTTGTGTTTTTAGAGGCCAACTGACCCTGGAGCAGGGGTGTGGACCATTAGCCGACCAGGGTGGACAATCTGTGGACACGGAGGGTCCCAAGTGGTATCAGTGGTGCTCCCTCAGAGAGCACAGCACTATAAGACTGTCTTTTGACATCGGGAGAAGTGATTCTTGGTGGAAAGACAACACAAGACCAGTCCTAGGAGTGGGGAAGATGTGTCAACAGCTCGGACTGTCATACTGACCTGCTTTCCGCAGCAAACTGGACAGACTTCCACGGTGGCCCTTCCTCTCTGGTACTTTGCCTGCTGTATGAATGAAGATTGTATTCCTCTGGAAATATTTTACAGTTTAATATTGAGTGTAATTAAGAATATAATCATGTTATCAAAAATGGTATTTAACTCTGTTGTAGTTTCTTTAAGATTCATGTGGATAAAAAAAGTCTATAATAAAAAAAACTATGAAATAAGAGTCATGCTCACATAGTTAAATGCGTTTACTGGGGGAAGTGGAAGAGAGAAACAAATACTTTTTTAAATTTTTAATAGTTTTTTATTGAATCACTGTCAGATAGACCCTTACAAAACTGATCATGATTAGGTTTCAATCATAAAGTGTTCCAACTCCTATCCCTCCACTGGTGTACATTTCCCAGCACCAGTGTCCCCTGTTTCCCTCCCACCATCTCCCATCCCTACCGCAGTCTGCCTCTATGGCAGGTAATATCTCTCTCTCTCTCTCTCTCTCTCTCTCTCTCTCTCTCTCTCTCTCTCTCTCCTTCCTTTCCTCCCTCCCTCCCGCCCCCACCTTTGGGACATTGTGGTTTGCAATACAGATGCTGAAAGGTTATCCCGTTACCTACTTTTAACACTCAGTTCTTGTCTATCGTGATCATTTCCAACTATTATTGTCATACTGGTCCCTTCTTTATCTTACCTACCCTATGCCCATATACATTTGTGATAGATTCCAATCATTGACCTGTCCTCTTAGCCCCTGTTTTCCCTGGTCTTGGATATTACTCTTCTATTATTTTTTTGTATACCACAAATGGATGCAGTTATTCGATATCTCTCTCCTTCTGACTCATTTACTCAGTATGATACTCTCCATGTCCATCCATTTGTAGGCAAATTTCATGACTTCATTTTCCCCAACAGCTGCATTGTGTAGATGTGCCATATTTCTTTATCCATTTGTCTGTTCTCAGGCACTCAGGCTGTTCCAGATTCTGGCTTTTGTGAATAGTGCTGCCATGAACATAGGAGTGCAGATGGTGTTTCCGCTGTGTTTTTGGGGCCCCAGGGTATATTCCCAGAATGGTATTGCTGGGTCAAATGGGAGTTCAACTTCTATATTTTTGAGGAATGTCCATATTGTTTTCCAAAAAGATTGGAACAGTCAGCATTCCCACCAGCAATGAATTAGAGTCCCTTTCTCCATGCATCCACACCAGCACTGGTTGTTCTTGTTCGTTTGTATGTGCGCCAGTCTCTTTGGTGTGAGATGACATCTCATTGTTGTTTTGATTTGCATCTCCCTGGTGGTTAGTGATGAAGAGCATTTTTTCATGTGCCTTTTGGAACTTTTTAAAAATTATTTTGGCAACACATTCAAATTCTTTTCTTTGAAAAATTGAATTCCTTCAAAAGTGGTTTTTAAAGTCGAGTTTAGGGGGACAGAAAGGTAATACAATGGGTAAAGAGCTTTCCCTTCATGCAGTTGTCCCAGGTTCATTCCCTGGCACCCTACCTGGTTTCCCAAGCAGGAGTGATTAGGAGTGCAGAGCTTTGCGTAAGCCCTGAGGACATGTATGACTGTGGCCCAAAACAGACTAATAAGCAAAGTCTAACTTAGCTTGTGGCGATTGTGGACAGCTAGAGACCTCCATATCTAGCTAGATCTGAGAAGGGCAATGGGAAGGTTCTAAATTCCTGCCAAATCTTCTAACAGGTTGGTGATGGAGTTGACCTTGTACCTTTCTTCTCCTTATTATGATCCTGATGTCGTGATACCATCTTATGCCAACAGAATGGTGTCAAAAATATAAAGGAGCTGAAGTGATGAAACCCCTGCAGGCCAGGAGCTCTAAGCAGTGATGGGTTGTGCTGCAATCTGCCACAAGTGACCTTTGCCCTGAGGTTGCTACCAGCATCCTAACTAATCTTCATCCTGGAATCCCTGCCTGGTTTCACTGAGGATTAAAGTGCATAACCCTGATATCTGATACTTTTCCTCAACCATCTCTACTAGCAGGAAGTACTCCCCCCCCCCAAAAAAAAATTAACTTCCCTATTTTCCTTTGAGGTCAATGTTCCAATCCTTAGCTATCCTGCGAAGAAACCAAAGGAAAGACACTCCTTTGCAATTTTCTTTTTAATCCTTGAAGTTCTCATGAGAGTTGGGGTCAAAGAAGGGAAAGATACCAAGACCTGGATTCTGGATCTGGATTAGGGGCTCACACAGCACTTCAGACATAACACATGTTTACGAAACAGGAGCCTGTGCTCAGGAGTCACTGGGCAGGCAAGTTGGTAGCATTTTTTTCCTCCCATGCAAACTTTCAACTGTACAAAAGGACTGAAGTCCAGAGCTCTTGGCTCAGTACTCTAAGCCAAACTACCAGAAGAGGTGACAAAAATGATCCAGGGGACAACAACCAGGTTTCCTGGAAAGTCACCAAGGAACAGCAGGGATCTTTCTCTCTGGAACGCAAGGACCTGAGTGCAGTCTCAGTGCAGGAGCGGCATCTAGTGCAGAGGAAGAATGACTAACAGGTTTTCAGATGAATTAATTCAAGGTCTTTGTCCTGCAGCTACATCAACTGGCAGTATTCATGGGTCCATCTTTTCTTTCCAATTACAACTTTAAATGTCTTCGAGTTGTTAGTGCTAAAATATTAGCAAATGATCTTGTAGCAAAGGGGAAATTACAACCAGATAACTTGACAAGGATGGCTGAGAGCCTTGAGATATTCAGAGTAGTAGCACCTGCCCCAATTTGGCTTACGCAATAGGAAAAACCATTGACCCCTGTGACTGAGAAATACTGACTCTCCACCAGTGTCTTGCAGTGCTCTGTCTAAACTCCAGTTGCTATAGGAGCCTGCTGGTCTACCTCTTTCTGGACACTAGAGATATTAGCATTTATTGTTGTCTTTATTCTCCTAGCTTCATGCTTCAAGGTATTTCATCAGTCTGTCTGATCCTGACAAACACTGGCACCTGCTAATCCTCCATGCAACCATGAAGTTTGGCAACAAACAGTCAAGGAATGAGACTTAGTTACACAGGGACTGGAGAGAGAGTTTAATGGGTAGAGTACTTGCTTTGCATGTGGCTGACCAGGGTTTGATCCCCAGCATCCCACATGGTCTCCCAGTACCACCTGGAGTAATTCCTGAGCGCAGAGCCAGGTTACCCCTGAGCATTGCCAGGTGTAGCCCGGGCAAACAAACAAACATAAGACAGTGATACAGATATGTCGTGAACCTACAGATCTTCTCACAAAGGAGACCACCTCTTCTTTATTATAGTCATATTTGACACTTCTTAGAACAAAAGGAATATGTCTTTGAAATTGTATGTGATTGGATTATCTGAACTGCCTTGTGGAAACAAACAGGACATTCATCTAAAGCACACAATGGGGCTAAAAATAGTCACTCTTGATAAGGACAAATCCAAATTCTTGATTTTACAATATGATAGTAGAAAAATGCTATTCTTTCCTTTCACTTGTATCATGTTAAAATGTCAAGGTCAACCCAGATTTAAGCAATGCAAATAAATTCTCTATTTTAATTCCAAAGGAAATGATTGAATCAATAAGGGTCAGAGAAAAAAATCAAAGCAGAAATCCCAGTCCAACCAATAAAATATTATGACCAGACAATTGGAACTGTTCCTCAGTAAAGCCTTGTAATTGTGCCTCCCTTTGCCACAGGCAAGGAGAAGAGGAGAGCACGTCCTAATTTTCTTAGATTTGAGCAATGAGTATCACCTGAGCTTGGTGAGCAACAGAGGGAGCCTTCTCTTCTAGCTCCAGGGGCTAGGAACAAGAAAACAGTCTCTCATGTAAGAGTAAGATTTAAAACAGCAGGGGTCAGGAACCAGGGATGGATCAGTAATACAGTGTCTGCGAGCATTAGGCCCAAAGTTAGACCTTTAATATCGATCCACACGCTCAGTGCAAGCCTAGTAGAACCGCTATTTGGAGTTCCAGCTTCACAATGAAGTGTGTACCAGTGTTGCTCATCAAAGCAACCAAGGTAAGGATGGGGGACAGCCTTGGCCCACAGTGAGATAGGTCAGAGAAGATGGACGTGCTAGGGTCGCGTAACCAAGTCTTTAATAGGAGACTTCCAGTCTACTCCAAGTCTAATGAGGGGGGCTCCATTGACTTTGTCCAATCACCTTACCAAGCTCCCCGTGACCGATCACACTTGTCCGTAGTGATATACACTCCCTTCGAGGGAAAATGTGCACTGTAAGCTTTATGGGGGCAGGGGCTGTTTTCAGCTCATTACTCTCTCCTTACTTCAGAGTACACTTCCCAACATGCAGTAGTTACACAAATCATTTTCTGTTAAATGAGTGGATGGATCTCATTGATTTTATTTGAGCTAGCCACAAGACATCATTGCACAGTTGTTATTTTATTTATTTTCACAGTACTGGGAATCAAACCCCGGCCTTACACATGTCAGATGGGTATCTGACCATTGAGTCACACTCTTGGCACCTAACTGTTACCATTGTAAATGTACTCTCATAGAATGGTGATCTTTCATTTGGTTTCAGATGATCTAGAGCATCTTGCTATCAAAGAG